TGGTTAGTTACTTATTGTTGCTTATTCTTTCTCGCCTTCTGATCTGATCTTCAGTATCGAGTGAGCATATCTTTAACCTACATCTTATACTCAAAAGGTTGGAGGTAACCAGAATGTTGACTTTAATTTCCATTGTGTAAATTTAACAATTAGGAGAATAATAAACAAACAAAAAACAATCAACATTGTAGCAAGTTGTTAGTACACGCAAATAATAATAATAATAATAAACATATTTTCTTTTAAACTAGAAATTTATTCTTTACCCTTTGTTTTCCTATTTTCACTCATCACTTATTATAATTTAGTAGATAAAAATAAACAATACAAGTAACCGGTTTTATATTGGGATACAAATTCTTATTCTTCACAATTTCTACACCCTAAATAATGAAAAATAAGGTTGTTTGTTTACCTCTAGGATATTTACATTGTTTTCAGTGTTGGTAAACAAAGCGAACAGCTAGTGACCTCACTCTTAGTTGTCGTAGTAACAGGTAGTGATATGTATATATATATATATATATATATATATATATATATATATATATATATATAATTCAGTCTATAAAGTATGTCTAAACTTAATTTTATGGGCGTATTACATTTTTGCATGCTCTGTATTATGTGTCAGTGTATGAATTCACAATAATGATGTATTGAAAAAGTTGTCAATGCCTATGCAACTCACCTTTAGTACAGTATTTCTACTGATTTCTCTATTTATATATATGAGGATAAAACCCCGCCCTAATAAATGGTATTCAACTCCCAGTTAATATATGCGGTATAAGTAATGTAGTAATGATACTAAGTAGAGCAAATTTACAATTTTATTGTCTGATATTATTGATTCATTGGTATCTTAGAAAGATATTGTTTATTGAATAGAATAAAACGAGAAAGATTTCTCTCTAGAAGAAATAACTGTTTACAGAGATAAAGATAACAGCGGGTTATATGAAAGTAAACTTTTTCTAAGAAAACAGTTTTTTTTTTATACAAATGATGTGTACAATTTACTATTTCAAAAAATGGCCTTTTTATCCATAGAAATCATAACTAAGTAAAACGTGTTTGCTGCTGACGAGTCCCGATAGAGGACGAAACACCTATCCTGAATTCCACTAATCTAGTTACTATCCATCATTACTAAGATTAACACCTATTTATCTGAACTATTCAAAATACATGGCGTGATTAACTTGAGCCATAAATGATTCATACTGGGTAAAATATTTTACTGAAATCTATGTATGTAACGACTATTACTAAATAAATTTCATGTTATCAACTGACATTTGAACTAAGAAAGGAAGGAGGAACAAATGTCCAACATTATTATTATTGCTATTTTTCCCTTGGGTTCCTAGTGGGACATAGGGCTTCAGTAGCACTCCTCCATTGCACTCTGTTCGACACTTTAATTCCCTTCAGTTAGAACATAATATATATTTCAAAAAGTAAATTTTGTTGAAGACATTTGTGTTACACAAAAATACTTTCAAAACTACCTGTTAAATGGTGAAAAAGGAACTTTAGAATAAATTGTTTGAAATTTAACTTCAGCACGAATGTGTAATAACGGAGTAATTCGATTAGAAGTAACCAATATCTTATTTGATATGATGATTAGTTTGCGAATGATTTACAAATCACACAATCCATTTCAACATTTCTCCTAGTTGAATGGTGTCTCAACTACTAAACTGTGATGTCACCACGGCTTTCACTGGAAACCACCGTACAGCCAAGATCATAAAATATGATCTCTCACACAAATGTGTTATGAGTTATCGATATATACCACTAGACAACTTGAATATTTAGAAACAATTCAGGCTGGTCTGTAGATCATGCAATTGGTAGGTCATTTAAAAATTGACCATCCTGTTTAAAGTATAGTTGTCTATGCAAGTCAGTTAGACACATTTAGGTGATTTGAACAATTCCGCTGCGTGAAGTGAATTTTACCACGTGCACTGCTGATGAGTTCGATCACAAACGAGTGAAATGAAAGTCTGATGTTCATATCACTCTGATATGGTGGGGGAGTGAGTTCTAGTAACTCAAGCTGTTCAGCAGCATACCTCGTTCAATATCCTACTGAGTTTTTCGAGGTGAAATAACTTCCTTTATTAAACTCTTTATAACAGTGGTAAAGTTATGTTAATGATGGAACGTGGCTAGCAGTGGGATCCAAGATGCACATTTCATCTTATTCGGGACTCATCAGGTGGATGTACGTGCTTCCTAACGCACTGACGTTTGAGGCAATCTCTCCCGAGTCCGAATCCCTGTGGGAACAACACCACTCACTGGAAAGCAGGTATATCCACTTGACGAGTCCCGAATAGGACGAAATGTGCATCCTGGATCCCACTGCTAGCCACGATCCATCATTACCATAATTAGAACGCTGGCAATATCAAGGCATCAGCACAGGAGCCCATATGCCAATAGAGATGGATCAGTTGGTCCAATCTATGACGGTATGATATAAAAACAATTATACTAAAAGTGGTAAAGTTAAATATACATGGATTAAGGAATTTGATCAGCTTCCTTTTGGTTATCTGAGCAAAAATACCCTGGCTAAGTTAATGCTCATTGGGCATAATAAGAAGTCTAGGGGAAACCTCAGCCATACATAAGTAATAATAACAACACACCAAAACTTAACTGGGTGGAATAAGGCGACAGTGTGAAGGAAAAGGCTGATAACTGGCATTTTGTTTTTTATACTGGCTGATGATTGAAGGTGAAATGAAAATTTGAACCACAGCCGGATTCGAACTAGTGTCCACCTTGTTTCCTGCCCGGAGTTCTACCAACTGAACTACGAGGTCTGACTACTGACCATATTTTTATTTCACTACAATCACCAATGGTTTTACCTGACTACCATATGAATTTGTGACATGTTACTCCCACTTGATCTTACTTACACTAGCTGTTCAGTTAGGATGTCTGATCCCAACTGTAGTATTGATACTGGAGGATGACTGAAGGTGAAATGGAAATTTGAACTGCGCCTGAATTCGAACCAGCAACCACCGGGTTTCTCCTAGCCACAACCAAGCTAAATTGCCATAATTAACTTTCAGGCAATATTGAAACATGCACATAGAAGTCCATATGCCAATAAAGGATGAACAATTCTATCCAATAAAAACAACGGAAAATTACAAGTATATCAATAAATTATCATTGGCTTATCATTATGAGATACATTCAACAAACAAATTAGCATAAAGTTTCGATCATATGGTGAAGAAAATCAGTTATACTGTTACACAATCACGCTAAATAGATTATCATCGAGTCAACTTTATAAATCAAATAACCATCTAAAAAAATGTTCATATAAGGGATGAATACTTACATATTTCGTCTATCTAAGATTCATCAGCCGAATGTATCTATCCTCCATAGTAAGTGTTTGCTGTTCTTACGGTAATAATATGAAATTACTGACATTTTTTAAGGCATCTACAGCAAAACCCAAATGTTAACAGTGACTGATCGAATCAATAACAGGATATGATATCAAACGAGATTATGAAATTAAGGTAGACAAAATAATATTCAAGAAAGATACCTTTCTGTCTTACACAGTTTTACAAATGAAACTTTACTCTGTTTGTTTCCTAACATATATTTACAGTTACAGATAGTGTTTTTGTTGAACATAGTTGTTACAAAGAAAGAAGTGAATGAAAATCATGATTATTTTATGCATAATACAACTAATGCCATAAAAGATTAAACTTATGTTATATAAAACCAATGGAATCAACAGAATTCAGTATAAAGTTGTGTAATACACCAAGAAAAATTTTCACGGTAGAAAAGTGATCAAAGAAAACTTGAAGACAACAATGAGATAACATAACTGGACTGTTTATAATGAAACAGCATTTTTAAAATGTTGCCAAATACAACATCAAAACATGTATTCAAAGTTGATGATTTAAAAAATGTTAAAAATCAGAGTTAAATTTGTTTTGTGTATAGGATTTCAGCTTTTGCATAGTGGAGAAGTTAAAAACTCGCCATATTCCGTTCAAAGTTCAATTAGTATTACTAATTCACTTAACAAGGTCACAAAAAATAACCTTGACATAACATTAAGTGAAATAAACAAACTAGAAAGACAATACTTTGATTAATGTATTTTTGAGATGAATGGAGATTTTTTAATTTAGAAGTAGTATTCATCATGGATTGAAGTCAGTTGGGGAACCCTTGAAAATCTAGGAGCACTGGACAGTTGTTTCATCCTAGTATGGGAGTCCTCAGCAGTACGCTGAATAGTTAACGCGTTCACCGTGAAACCTGAAGGTCTGGGTCGTGGGAGCGTACTGCTGAGGAGTTCCATAGTAGGACGAAACATCTGTTCAGCGCTCTCAGATTTTCAATGGTTCCCCAACTGATGTCAGTCCATGATGAATACTACTTTTAAATACGTTGATTATGTTAAGGATGGATCGTGGCTAGCAGTGGAATCCAGGATACACATTTCATTCTATTTGGACTCGTCAGCTGGATGTACCTGCCTCCCAGTGAATGATATTATTCCCAAGGGACTCGGGAACGATCGCTTCAAGCTTGAGAACAACCCAGTGGGAACAAAATTAGTTCAAATGTAGCAGGGAATTACTGTTTAAGTAGAATAGTATAGACTCAACAGATAACAGATTATGTCTGCGTCCAGAATTTCTACGATACAAACCTTTCAAATGCCTTAAATCAAATCTATCTACCTTTAATTATCTTTATGCATCAAGATATGTATCATTAGCTGTCATATCAATCCACTTGATTTCCAAGAATATTTCAGGCAACTTAGTGTCTAATATGATCGAGTGGTATAGAAAATCTCATTTCCATCTAGTAATGAATCTTCTAGCTTGCAAAAAATATTTTATAATGATTTGTTTGGTTGATATTCCATTGCAATTAGTTAAGATGACTCTGTTTTCCTTTGATTTGTTGAGAAAGTAGTCGATGATGAAGTTATCTACATTTCAATTGGATATGAAAACTGTGAGTTGCAGTGAATTTCTACTTTGGAGAACACTATCTCTTATGAGCTAATAGGTTGTTGTTGTTGTTGTGTACAACTTTCTTGTACTTTTTGGTCTGCAAGTTTCCGTTGTATATCATGTTTATGAGTGGATTTTATAATGAAATTGCATTGTTAACTTCTTCCTCCTGTGTAAATTGAATTCCCTAGAATGCTTATTAATGAATTTTAACACATTTTTTCCAAGGCTTACCAAATGTATCATGAACTTATCAAATCCAAGTTTTAGATCTAATGAGTGAACTAATTACTGACTCCAATCACTGTGTCATGGTTTTACCGATTAATGTTATGATTGATGATTATACAATTAACAGTTTGTTTTTTTTCCTTGCCTTCGATGACTTTCATCGTACAATATGATCATATTGAAACAACAGGATATACTTTCAAGTTATTTACAAGCAAGTTGATGTCTAAGGCAGCCTAATTTTCAGTGTATAATCAACTATTCCCAACAATGAAATAGTCTTAAATAGTGTGTGATATTATGAATTGTATATATTTAAAAGTGATATGTTATACGTCATTTTCTTCAGTCCACACTCTTGTAAAAGTATGATTTCTTATCGCATTCAACTCTTCATCTGTTTCTAGGGTTATAACTTAACTTCACTGAGTTTAGTAGATTTTGTATGTTCAATCTTCGTTAAGTATACAAAAAGAAACAATTATCTGGTAATATTTCTCAAAGTTTCTATCTTGATGGCAACATTACTTTGAAGAGTATTATGATTTCTTACACTGACTCTTCCTAGAAGTAGTAATAATAATAATAATAACAATATACTTGCTTTATTCCGCACGTAATTACTTTTATAATACAGAATTCTCAGTGTGTGGTATTCCATCTGTCTACCCATTGTACAACATTTTTAAAACATCAACAATGGTTCTATTTGACACTATATATGATAACGAATAACGGGATTATTGAAATGCTTAACGACTTCAGAGACATATTAACTATTCACTGTTACACAGTTGATTGATTAGACTATGTCTAACAAGATTTTCTTCACACAATACACAAGCTAAATAAGGTGGTATAGTTGAATTTTTATATGTGGTTGTGCTTGCATAGAGTTAAATATATTTGCTTCTTGTCTTCCCAGACAACAGATATGGAGAGAGGTGAGTATGCAGAGGATGCTTGTCATCAGATAATATACTTTTAGCTAGTAGTCTACAAGAGTTCAGATACTTATCCACGACTACATTTATCAGTTTCGTTAGGGATGTGCTACTTGCTCCACTAACAACCTTCAAAATCCTACACAATACAAAGTAGTCCTTTTTTCGGAGTCCAGATAAAAATAAGGGGGAACAATAAGTAAATGTAGGTGGAACAAAGGAATTAATGAAATGTAAGAATACATGTTGAGTTATGCCAGATTGTCTGAGTTCCCCAATATAAAAGGTCAAACGAAGGATTTTTCTAGAAATCAGTAAGATATAAGGTGCCATAAAAGATGAGGAGAAAAGCATAAGCCAAGATGAACCAAGCTTACTACATTCTCTATAATAGAGCTATCTGTAAGACAGGAGTAATTGGGACTGAAGTAATGTGAAAAGGTCTTCTTCATGTCTTAAGCTAGAAATTAGCCATCTGACATTTGGAGGAATTCAGTGTGAGGCCATTTAAGGAAGATTAGTAACCAATTTCCTTTAACAAATTGTTAAACTGCGAACAATCAGAAGAGATGATCAGCATGGATACTCTCATGTCATCAGCATACTTAAGGAAGTTGACTTTAGTCGAGGTTGGTAAGTCATGCAAAAAGAAAAGGAGAAAGAACAGCAGGCTGAAGCACACAGGCTTCACTAAGCAGCAAAGTAGAGAATTTCCCTCTATGTGGAGCGTACTGTTTTCTCTCAGAAAAATATGAATCAAGGCAGTTAACAATCCAGGAATCAATGTAAGTACTGGGAAGCTTGTTTAATAAGAGTGGTTTAGGGATAGAGTCAAAGGTAGAAGCATAATCCAAGAAGGCAGATCTAACATACTTGGCACCTTCCTCCAGACTGGCGATAATATTATGATGTAAAACAACTGCAGAATCTAAGATACTCCTTCTAGGTTTGTAGGCAGATTGATTTGGATCCCTAAAAGCCTGTAAAGGAGGTTCAGGTGCAAGAAGCAACAGTTTTTTCAGTACTTTTAGGAATGGTGAGGTAATTGCAATCGGCCGGAATTTTACTTTAGCTCCAGATGTGGACTTATTATTATTTGTCCCTTGGGTTCCTAGTGGAACATAGGGCTTCAGTGGCACGTCTCCATCCCACTCTCTTCTCTGCAGTCTTTTGAACCTCGCTCCACCACTGCCCACAAAGTTTTATTTCTTCCCCACATGATCTCCATGTCACCCTCACCTCGTACACCCAACTCATCGTTTCCCCTTTGGATTCCACTCGAGCCACTGGCCTGGTGCGTGATGTTCCCGAATGGTCTTCTCAGTGCATGCCCGATCCATCTCCACTTTCTTCCAGTGCATATTTGTTGGGCGATAGGTTCTTGGTTGGTTCGTTACCAGCCAGCCAGAGTTCCTTGTTACTTATTCTTATTATTCTGGCCATCTGAGCTTCAGTAACGAGCCAACGTAGGCAGTTGTTGATGAATGTTTGTAGTTTGTTGTAAATGCCTTTCGTAACGCGCCAAGTCTCTGAACTATATAGAAGCACTGACTTGACTGAATTAGTGTTGAAAATCCGAATCTTGCTCACGCTTTATGCTGAATGTAGTAGGTCTCCACACTGGTTTCAGGTTAATGGACGCCAGTCTTGCTGTCTTTCCGATCCTGCTGCTTTGACGTTCTCGTCTGTGCCACCTGTATTTGGAACGTGCTGCCTAGGTAGATGTAGGTGAAAGAGACTACTTCCTTTAAGTTTCTCTCGTTGATGGTGATTGGAGTTTGTTGTTGGTGGTGGTGTTGGTTGGGTACCTTCATCACCTCTATCTTCTCTAAGTTCACTTGAAGTTCTGTCTTCGCTGCCTCTTCTGTCAACTTGTTGAATTTTGCCTGTAGATCTTCAAGTTTGTGTCACAGAGATGCTGACTTAGGTACCGAAAATATTTTAATTTCTTTTTAGGCGGTTGGTAGTAGTAGTTGTTATTGTTGTCATAATAATAATAATAGTGATAATAACAATAACAGTACTTCGTGTTATTCAGATTCTACATCTTTGAAATGTGTCTTCCTAACAAGATCAAGAATCTGGGGAATAATGTACAATACTCATTTCCTTTGGTTGGTCTAATATACTACACCAGTATTTTGCAAGTAACGTACAGTAAATAAAGCGAATAATATCAAAGTGATCCTTACGTTACACAAGGCAATTCAGTACATCTCAAGGAATTTCAGGAATTAGTCACTATATTTTATGAAACTTGAAGTAATAACTTATATTCACATGCATATTGATGGCGTAAATCACTTTGTCTAATAACGCTACACAAATTTCTTTATCTACTCTGAAGGGTTCTGTTTCTTTGCATTTTAGTTATCTGGACGGAAATCGTTGTGCTTTCTGCTGACTATCAAACTAATGCACAAATTTGAAATCTAACATTCAGAGTACTAGTTAGTCAGAAATTCATTCAAACTTCTTCTCTTTCATCATGGCGTGTAGACTAGAGTAGGTATATTGACGTGCAGTTCTCCAACTGAATACCCGCGACTAATTGCCTCTCAGCATGTTTGAAGTTACAGAATTTACTTTCAAAAGATGAACTCTCTATCTCAGATTGATATATCAAAAACGAAATGGATTATGAAGACTAATATACAATTAGTAATATAGGTATTATAGGTTGTAATTCCCCTCGTCGGTAAGACCAAGCGGATGGGTCACATCGGACACCCTGATGTTGCGAGTATTTCCGGCTTTGATAATGATGATGGATAGTAGCTAATAGTCGGATTCACGACATGTGTTGTGTCCTATTTGGGACTCTTCAGAGAGAGGAAACTACTTCTCAGTGAATAATGTTGCTCCCACTAAGACTTAAAGCCAGAACCAGCCGCTTCAAAATTCAGAGATTTATCCACTAAGCCGGTGAGTCATGTTAGCTACTCCTTGCATGATAGCTATAGCATATTTAGCTTATAATAGCTTGTAATCTCCAACGATCCATCAATGAAAGCATACTGGAAATACTAGTAATATCGAGGCATCCTTACAAGAGTTCATATTGCAATAGTGGTCTATGAGTTTGGTCCAGTCGACGACAGGGAATTACAGGCTATATATTTCTAAACGATGCTATACCTATAACGCAAGAAGTGACTATCATAACTCAGTGGAGTTTGAAGCGACTGGTCTGGGGCTTTAGTCTTAGGGGGTAAAAAACCCCTCACTGAGAGGTAAATACACCCACTTGATGAGTTCCAAATAGGACGTAACATGCGTTCTGGATTCCATTGTTATTCGTCATTAATAAAAATAATAATAATAATACCAGTTGAATAAATCGTTGCACAGTTTTAAACCTGTAGTTATGTATACAGAGAATCGTCAACTATCAGTCCCATATGATAGCTGAATCTCTGCATTTTCTATATCAAAAGTAACTGTACTTAGAGACTGACTTTGATCAAAGTTTACCCGGAATGCATATCCAGTTACATTTCTGTCTTTTTTAATGTCATAGTCGAAATAATCCTTTCAAATTGGTCTCATATTACCGATAAATAAGTAATGAAATATATAGTGAAATAATTCACGGTGTAAGTTTTCTGTTGTATAAAGAATTAAGCTGACATCTTTACCAAACAGTATTAGAAGTGATAAATTTTTCTGTCAAATACTGTTCGTTAGATGTCATACTCATTCTCATTATTTTCTAATGCAGTTAGAAAAATCGACAGCAATGATGTAAAACATATACCATTCACACGATGTTGATTATCTGATTATTCAGGAACATGTACCTTGTAAACTGGTAGAATACAGTTCAAAATAATAAGTGTTGCAACAGAAGGAGCTTGAAATAAGTGGAGTAATACTAATAATATAAGCATGCTTACAAATGCCAGACTCTTCTACAAGCGACTCTAAAGGTCTGGTATTATTGCTTGGATTATACCGTCGTTGAGTGGACCGAATTGAACGATATCTATTGGCACAAGAAGTGACTGTCGTGTTTCGGTGGTCTAGTGGGTAACGATTTGGCATTTGAATGGGTCGGTCCAGAGTTCGATTCCCAGTGGGGACAACATCACACTGGAAGGCAGGTACATCTAGCTGACAAGTCCCAAATAGAACGGAATGCGTATCCTGGATTCCACTGCTAGCCACTATCCATCATTACTAGGATTAGGACTCTAAAGATCACCCAAACAAATGCTGAAGTGACCATCGGATTTCTATACTCTGCCTGGGAAGGCGGTTTCTCATAAAAGAGAAACACATAGTTGGTTATCTCAGCAGCTGTTGGGGTGGTC